CACTTTGGGTCTAAAATGAGTCTCTTGCAGACAGCATATCAATGGGTCTTGCTTTTTTACCCAATCTGATACCTTGTGTCTGTTGATTGGGGCCTTTAGCCCATTTACATTCAGGGTAACTATTGAAAGATATGAATTTAGGGCCATTATATTGCCTGTACGGTGACTGTTACTGTATATTGTCTCTGTTCCTTTCTGGTCTATGTTACTTTTGGCTCTCTCTTTGCTTAGAGGACCCCTTTCAATATTTCTTGTAGGGCTAGTTTGGTGATCACAGATTCTTTTAGTTTGTTTGTCCTGGAAGCTTTTTATCTGTCTTTCTATTTTCAATGACAGCCTAGCTGGATAAAGTATTCTTGGCTGCATATTTTTCTCATTTAGTACCCTGAATATATCATGCCAGTCCTTTCTGGCCTGCCAGGTCTCTCTGGATAGGTCTGCTGCCAATCTAATGTTTCTATCATTGTAGGTTACAGACCTCTTGTCCTGAGCTGCTTTCAGGATTTTCTCTTTGTCTCTCAGATTTGTAAGTTTTACTATTAGATGTTGGTGTGTTGACCTATTTTTATTGGATTTTGGGGGGTTCTCTATGCCTCCTAGATTTTGAGCCTGTTTCTTTCCCCAAATTAGGGAAGTTCTCCACTATAATTTGCTCCAATATACCTTCTGCCCCTCTCTCTTTCTTCTTCTGGGATCCCAATTATTCTAATATTGTTTCACTTTATGATATCACTTACTGCTCAAATTCTCCCCTCGTGATCCCGTATTGTTTACCTCTTTTTCTCAGCTTCTTTATTCTCCATCATTTGGTCTTCTATATCACTAATTCTCTCTTCTGCCTCATTTATCCTAGCAGTCAGAGCCTCCATTTTTTATTGCACCTCATTAAATAGCCTTTTTGATTTCGACTTGGTTAGATTTTATTTCTCCAGAAAGGGATTCTCTAGTGTCTTCTATGCTTTTTTCAAGCCCAGCTAGTATCTTTATAATCATTATTCTGAACTCTAGTTCCGACATCTTACTAATGTCCATATTGATTAGGTCCCTGGCAGTCGGTACTGCCTCTTGTTCTTTTTTTTGAGGTGAGTTTTTCCATCCTGTCATTTTGTCCAGAGAAGAATAGATGAACTAGAGAACAAAATGCTAAAAGGCAACAATGACCCCACAGAAATATACACTAAACAAATCAGAAGAGACCTGAAACTGGAGGGAAAAGAAAAAAGAGGGCATATGATCAGGCTGGTGAATAGAACAGAGCCATACAGTAGATTTGGGGTGTATTTTGGTCTGTTAGAAGAAACTGCATCCCAAAATTTTAAATACAATGAAGGGATAGAATATGACTGTAAAAATGAAAATTAAAGATTTTTAAAAAGGAATTAAATAATAAGTTGGTTGGAAAAGAAGAAAATTTTTACAAAATAAAATTTTAAAAATTGAAAGACTAAAGAATCATGGTAAAAAAGCCATGGATTCTATGTGCATTATTCCCCTAGCACTGGAGTTCTGCCATTCTCATTGATCGGTAAACTTGGTCTTGGCTGGCTGTTCTCGCTGATCTTCTGGGGGAGGGGCCTGTCGCAGTGGTTCCCAAATGTTTTTGCCGGAGGCGGAATTGCCCCGCCCTTGCCTGGTCCGGACTAAGTAATCTGCTCAGGTTTGCTCTC